TCACCTCTGCAAAAAAATAAAATAAAATAAAGGTCATTTAGTCATCAAACTGTTTAGAAGGAAATGAACGGTATTGGTAAAAACATTATAAACTGTCTATGTATTTGCTACAATATATTGCCTAAACGACCTTAGTTTTAATTTATTTTTTGCAAAAATGATCTTTATAGTGTGATTCATAGTATGAACGGTTCTGATCATAAGTACAAAATTCTGTGTTTAAAATATAAAGAGTTTTGAGTAAGAGTTTCTACTCATTTTTTGAGTAGCCAACTATTTTTCTTTTCACACAACAGTTTGAATCATCATTGTTCTAGAACTTCATATCACACATGATTAAAGGATGGGTCATTGGATGCCCTAACGCCAAATGAGTTAATCACGTGTGAACTCCAACCGCCAATAAGCCAAAGTCTAATGAGAGAAGGCATGTGATTAACATATTTTGACCTTCTTCTCAAATACCAAACCCCATGTTGAAAAAATTGGAATGAAGATCATAAAGCTCAGAAAAAAAATGGTCGTAAGCAGAAATTGAAAGTTTGTAGATCCAATCAATATTGAGCATGTCAAATTATCAAAGGGACGGGCAAAGGCCCAATTTCACTAACATTGATATTGTTCATAACTTGTTAATTACCACATATACAATTCGTCAAGTTTGAGGTTTTATAGCTCGGTATTAGTTGGAGTGGAGTTAGGATATTTAAATTCTTCTTTTCTTAGATATACGGTCGATATGAAATATTTCTAATATGCTCCTTCACATGGAACCCAATTTCACATGTGGGAGATCTACAGAACGGCAACCATGTGGAAACAAGGGGACTCACACTATATGCGGGGCCAAGGGACCCACCATCATTGTGTGGGGCCAAAGAGAACCACTCATCACGTGGCAGTACAAGTCCGCTCCCTGACTCTGATACCATATCAAATTATCAGAGAGGCGGGTCAAATGTCCACTTCCAAAAACATCGATATTGTCCTCAACTTGTTAATTACCACATGCACAATATGTTAGATGTTGAGTTTTATCACAAAAGACCACAGTATTAGTTGGAGTGGAGTTGTTTAAACTCTTTTTTTCTCAGATATACGGTTGATATGAAATAATTCAACATAGCATGTATTTTATATTCTTTTTTGATGAAGTGGAAATATCATTACCAAGGCAAAGATGCCAACATGTGTTTGATTTGACGTCATAATTCGGAAGATGCCCTCTGTAACTAAGTTGTTTTTCTAGATGAATCGAGGCATCATTGAAAAATCTTAACCTCCCCGTTTTATGCAAATTATTCTTTTACTCATGTCGCTAGTGACGTTGGATACATGATCTTCCATCAACTCATCTGTTCAAATTTTATAATCTATAAATTAATTTGTGTCTCATAGTCAACCCTTTCTAGTAAGCCTTGCATAAGCCATGCATCAGCCATGCATCAGGTAGTAGAAAATTTAATATCGGATTTATATATTTAATTTCGAATTGCTGCTTTCTCAATTCTCATCGTGACTCATAGCGGAGCTTAATAATAAAATAAGGATAATGTTTGAAAAATTAAATTTACAAATTAAATAATATGTTATCAATAAAAAATAAACACATTAATAAACACTTAAGTAATAACCTAATCATCAAAATCGTGTTCAAAATTTAATTTAAAAATTTAATCCCCTAACATTAACTATATAATATATGTATTGCTCATATTTCGATTGCCGTGACAATTGGCATGCCGTGCCGTCACAACCACTCCAGTTGCTTTCATTTGCATACCAACAATTAATTATTAATTAGAGTAAGACAGCCAAGAAATCATGAAATTCAGTGAGATCGATCGACCTTTCCTTTATTTCTGGCCAGAATATTCAGTGATCCATCGTTCAGCATATTGTTGTATGGTGAAATCTCTGTAGTCATACATGCACATGATGATCATATGAATGGAATGTACGTGAAAATTTATAATTAATTTGAAGGAATTTTCACGAATAATACATGTAAATTTTTTTATAAATATTTCACTAGACATTATGGGATTTATTTCCTTTTATTACAATGACATGAATAATACACAAAAGCTTAAGAAAAGAAATAAAAACTAAAAATGAAAAAACCTTGTCATCAATGGTGCAATGGGTTTGGACCGGTGGGAACAAGGCGCATTTCAGAACCGTAACGAGGGTTGATCTCCGTTCCGCCCGGCTCTGGCCGCACAGGCACATATTTGTAAGGATGATCCTTTTGACGTTGCTGGTTCCGGTGGACAAATGGGGCAAAGTCAAATTTAGAAGCCAATAGTACTTTCCGGTTGCTCAAAGTGTAACGACGATCGGAGCTGCTGAGAGAATATGCTGCTGCTTGCGTAGGGTTTATGTGGTTACTGCTATTTTTGGAAACGAGATGAAACCAACCGTGGACGGATAACAAGATCAATGAGAGCCAAAGCATGAGACTAAAGAGACGAGGAATAAGAAGTTTGGAAGCCATGGAAGGGTAGGGAGGGGATGAAAAATAGAGAGTAGTGCATGGAGAACAAAGAGACAGAGAGAGAATTTGATTACAGAGAGAGAATTTGATCTGAAAATAGTGGGAATAAAAGTAGCTAGGGTTTCTGTGTTTTAGAGAGAGGGTTGAGGGTTTTGGAAGCTTGACAGCTTAAATGTGCTATAACTTGTAGACCAACAAAGCTACTAGCATAAGAAATGCTTGATAATCTGGTAAGAGGGGGGGGGGGGGGGGAGAGAGAGAGAGAGAGAGAGAGAGAGAGAGAGAGAGAGAGAGAGAGAGGGGTTTGTAAGGCAAAGGGCCAGTAGATGCGGGGAGGGGGGGGCAGGATTGTCGAGCATTCTTCTACCAATGAGACTTCCTTTGCGTTCAAGGAACCAATTAATTAGGGCCATCAAAAGTGAAAATTGTCAAACCTTTGGTTTATATATTGCGGTGACCCGAGAAGATGAAAAAAAAATACATGGGATGAGATTAGGTCCCATTACTGTTGCAACACTCTAGAGCAACAGCCAACATATCTGCTTAATTTGAGGATTTATTTTGTAGTTAACCTACAAACTCCATGATGAGATCGACTCATGATTCCGTTTTCATATTGATTCCAATGGAGTTTACTGGCAGGTTTTGAATTACAAGTTTTTTGAACTATGCAAATCTGAGTTAGGTTAGTAGGTCAAGTGTGATCCTCCTCTAGTATTCGAAATAATATCTCCCTCCGCGTATATTAGTATAGGATATTGCCTTCATCTTGTAAAATAGGAAATTTTGAGTTTTTTGAATTACAATAGTACATGTATATAGATAGTCAAAATGCCTAGTGATAAAAGACGAATTTAAGGCCCGTATTACACATGACACATCCTGAGTTCGATGATGACACTGGTGAATTACACGACGGTGCCCAATGGGAGGCTAAAATGCATATGTGAGTCTTCTCGACCCTCAGAAAGGTGGACTGTGATAACGAAGCCACCAATTGATCCCTTTTATGAAAAGAAAACAATGTGGGATGCCGGGGTTTGTGGACTTAGTCAGTCTGGTCTTAGCTTTGAGCATACACTAGGCTAGCTAGCTATGAACAATTTGACCATCACAATTGATCATATATGTTTGTTTCATGCTAAATAAACAAAATTGGAAGATTGACCTTTCATTTTTTAGATTTTATATATAATTTTCATGACTTGTGGTATCTTGCTTGTTTGACCTTATTGTCACGAGGGATCGAATTCAATTCATGTTCGAGTTTTCAATTCATATTCACACGGTTAGCTACATATATGCCATAAATATGTTAATGCACGCTAAGTAATTGCATGGGAGGAAACAATTCCTTTGCTTTCCTAATACTCTTTCTTTTTATATATTTTCTTCACTTCTTTCATTGGTTTTTGTAAATTTGATCCTCTTTTGACCTAAACAAAAGTTGGCAACAAAAATATATATTTGACAACTCAACTTTTCTTTAAACACCTAGCTGATTAATATAATAGAATTCAATTTTACTCACGTTTATCAGTATAAAACATATAAAGAATCACCAAACGGTCATATAATTTTTTCAATTTGAATAAATATTTGCGCGAAGGTAGAAGATGAAATAGATGATTAGCGTTGTATTGCCTTATAAATTAATTAGTGTTCTATTAATTTACAAATTAGTTAGTGCTTGAGCGCTGTTATTGTGACGAGAAATTTAAATGTCAATACACATTTTTGATGCATAAAATGGAGTGGAATAAGCAAATACCAATACGAATATAGACTTTAGCAAGTTACACAAAGATCCAATATGGTTGTGTGTGCAAGCACGACCTCCAAGGCATTATATCCCCTCTTCACTCTCTCTCTCTCTCTCTCTCTCTCTCTCTCTCTCTCTCTCTTTCGGGAATGGGCATGGACTTTGAATTGCCTTTTTTCCAAGATAAAAGCCTCTTGTCGGGTGGACCAAATCCATGGAGACCATGGATTCAGATGGCCATATGGCTGGCAAGCAATTAACATGCCCTTTTACCTTCCTTTTTCATGGGGAAATTTGGTATTTGCCTGATTAGGTTACCCTTGTACAAAGGAGATATTAGCGTCGAGTGCCTAAGATCAAATACAAGATTTCAAACTAGGGCTAAAAAGTGCCCTATGTGCCATTCTTGGTCTCACCCACTTTGCGTCGGTAGGACAGTATGCCCTACATGGTGTCCGGTCTACTCATTTTCATGAGAAATACTTGTATGACACGAGACAACGGCCGTGCTTAGAAAGTTCTATTCCTTCTACCATCTACTCTGACCACAATCAGCCACGTGGGGTTGCCGACGTGGCCCAACATTTTTCATCTACTTTTCTTGGATGATATTGACCTCTTTGATCACAACTTTTAACACTATTTTTGGCCCATTCCTTTTTACTTTGAAAGCGCAAAGTTCAAACAGGTTGTTGACCATCTCAAAAATTGAGAAAATAAGGGTGTTGATGGCAAATTCTGTAATTTTAAGAACACAAGAATTTCCACTAATTTACCTAAATTGTACCAACTCTGATGATATTTTTTTGTAACTTTACAATAGTTGGACCTAAATCCTAGCAAAACCATCGGAATTCACAGTATACAAATCCTTCAAAGGATACCGAGTCGATGAAAATTACGTGAAACTGTCGCATTTGTCACACTAAATCTGCCAGCAAAGTCTCGAGGAGTAACAAACGAAGCCAGGACTAAGTAAAAATCAGCAGTACTCCACCTAATACACAAGAAAAGGGAAACTGCACCTACGGTGGGGACCTAAGGACTGCTTTTGATTACTTTGGACCTTTCAGATCCTTGAAATCCATACCGTTCCCTAAATCATCCTCGTCAATAGCATCAGCTTCGGTGTTCAAGTCATGTTCTTTAGCCTTCCTCCCAGTCTATATCATCCTCATCGTCCGCTGTAGCATCAGCTTCGACATTCAAGTCATGGACCTTATAATTTTCTGCATTACCTGTAGCGTGTATGGAGAAAAGACGTCAAAAGCAGAAACTAGAGCACAACGATATTCAAGCACATCAATGAAGAATCTGTCACAATGCATTGTCAAACTTTGTACTTCTATACAGAAATGAACTGCGAACCAAAAACTTGAATATGCATACAACATAAATCACCGCATATATTGGCTTAATGACCACGTGCCATTCTCATTGTTTGTCGAAATTAACTGAATTAGAGGACGGCAATTCAAATTAAAGAACAATCTGAAATTGAACACTGATTGCCAAATGATAACATTTACCTGTTACTGGAGCCTCTTCCCAGTCTACAGTATCTTCTCCTTCATCCTCGCGCTTTGACTTCATGCCAACCCGACGATTAGGAGACACTGCAGAGGGACCATCGGAGATCTGTGTTTCCTGTGCTTTCTTTGCTTCTTCTTCTTGCTGTCTTTTTATTAGAGCAGCATAATAAGCTTTTAAATACTCATCCTGTAAAACAATGAAGATCCAATTAACTCAAAAGTTTTATTTATTTATTTTGAAAGGGGTCTCAAAGCAAGAAATTATTGCACAAACCTGTATATTTTTCTCATTATTTTCGGTACTGAATTTTTTGTCTTCTGAGAACTCTGGAGCTGCTACACTTGCACTGCCATCCATCTTTTGCTCCTGCTTGACCTCTCCACGTTGTTCTTTTGTAAGGTTCATGCCTTGCTTGATCATCCAAGGTGGCAAAACTTTCAGGCTTGTACCATCAGCTTCAGATTTAATATCCTTTCCTTTTCCTTCAACCCCAGAGAAATCAACTTCAACCTGCAAACGGAGATATTTCAAATCCTTACAGCTGATGCAAATACCATATAGTCATTACCGTAAAATAAAAAACAGTTATCCCAAACACACCTCAAGACTGATAGACATGATTGGATATTTGGAGGGAAGGGATTAGACTTACCTTTGTATCTCCAAGAAAGGGCATTGGCGTTCCACCGTATCCCATCCCATGAGAAGATTTGGAGGGATCCATGGCACTAGACTCACCATTCTCTGCACGTCTAGCAGCACTTGCTCGCGCTTCCCAAGCTTGGAGACTTCCAAATTCAGGAGGAGATAAGTCTTTAACTCTATTAATTTGGTCCATTAGAGGCTTCAGCTGTACCTGCATTCATTTCATTTATCAACTCAGAGAACAATTAGAGCAGTAGAATACACAAGTACAGTAAAGTGCATCATTACATATCAAACTCAAGAAAAAGACAGAGCAAAAACCTCCATCTTTTGAAGCAAGTCTTTTAATTTTTCACGTCGCCGCCTCCTTGCATTGTCGTCTCCATCTCCTACTACTTCTTGCGAAGCTAGCTTGTCACTCTCAGCCACAAGTTCTCCATTGCAACTTTCACAATGGAAGTACTCATCCTCCATAGACACCAGTTGCAGCGCATCTAAAGCGTTGTATCTAAAGATTTGCGCTTGCATGCATAATTCAAGTATCAAAATGAGGAACACACAGAGAAACACACAGGTAAAAGAAGAAACAGTTGAGACCTTTTCCCACAGTTGGGGCATACATATTCCTGAACTGTGTTCTTGTCCTCCAACTCATCTTTCAGTTTTTTCCGCAAACGGTGCAGTCTGTACCTTACCACATCATATATCTGAAATATAACTCTAGTTTAGGCCTTAACCGAAAAAATAGAAGCCAATATTTTTTCAGCAATTGATAAATTGAATAATCAAGTCAAGCCAGCAAAATTACCAACATTGATTCATTCACCATCTAGTTATCAATCTAATCGTTTTTTGTTTTGTTTACAATTAGTCAATTAAATAACTAAAAATAAGAAAAGAATCTAGATATATATGTATACAAAATCTATAAAACCAACCTGTGCATAATCCAGACAGCAGTAAGAGTGAGTGTGCATCTTAACTTTCTCTTCACCTTCTTTTACAGGTGGACCATCTCCTGTGGCAGCAACAGCTGCATTGTGCACCTTTGCACCCTTAGCTGTCTGCAAAAATTAATGATATAAGGAATAAAACCCACATAAAGGGTTACTTGCCAAATAGGGCAGCTTGTTAATCCATATCAATCAACAGCAAAAAGAAGCAAGATTTGTTCTGTACAAATTACTAGACTTCAACCTTTATATACAAGAGAAAGATTACTATAATTCATCAAATAGAGATCGATGGACTACTAGGACAACCACAATGGACAAACTACGAAGATTAATTGGAATGGCAGAATCATCTAGCATAACCTAAAATGAAATTTCACAAAAAGCAATCCCTCATTACATCTTCCATCATAAGATTAAAGGTGCAAATGACCTTGAGGGCTTGAGTGTCCAATATATCAAAAAATAGTGTTAAACAATAACAAAACATATATACAGAGTAAATTTTATTTATAAGAAACAAGTGTTAATGACAAGGTGTTCTTGCAGGTTTAAGCAAGTTGTAAGTGAAAAAATTGATTCCCTGCCTTCACAACAATATCTAATTACTTTTTTTTAAACCTGGTGATGCAGGCTATAATTAGATCCTATAAACCTGATTAAACCCACATACCTGAAGACTACAATAGCCTGGTACACCAGCTTGACCTGCCTCACGTTAATCAAATGCAATCTAGTTCTTTCAGGAAAACTATACAACTATTTCTCTTTTGACTCATTTATACCAGGGCCTTTCTTGTTAGCTTCTGGAATTTGAGAAAATAAATTCTCTTGAACACACGCCCACATACTGGTGTTTATCTCTTTCTATTGTACCTCATCTTTTAAGAGGTGTCATATCAGAGTTTATCTGGTTATTGTCCAAGTCACATGGGTTGGACTTGGATCCCTCTTTGTGCTTTTATCATACGGTTGGGGATGAAGTGAAGTAACAGCTAAGAGCCTAGGACCATTCTCTTATAATTGGCAAACTCGTAAAGCCATTAGACAATTTGGACTGAGGGGCCTCAAAGCTCCAGCATTGCTTTAGGAAATCTTGGTTTACTCAATTTCTATTTGAAATGACTAATGGTTCAAACTAGATTGAGCACTAGGATCACTTACACGTGAAAGATACCTAAAAATACAGATACCGACATTGTTAATATCCTTCTTGGTTTAACCCTTCAAGCATGTAGAAACTTCTCTCCGTTTTTGTATATTAATATTCACAAAATGAATCAGAATAATACGTAAAACTCATCAGGTGGACCAAACCAACTGGTAACCAAAAAGCATTGAATAATACACAATAACTAAGATCAAACGAATGACCTCTCTCCTATGATCTCTGGTGACCAGTTTTTCCTCCTCAAAAAATCGCAAAGTACGACGAAGTTGCTTCGAGTGCAGTTTCAAGTCCTTTGCCAAATCTTCTTCCCTTACCCATTGTCGTCTGGCATCAAAACATCTAAATATTACTCACAAGCAATCAAATGATGAATTAAAAAAGTTTGTGCACCTTCACCCTCAAACACACACACACACACGGAATCACCCATGTAATGCACAATAAAAACCCTCATAGCAATGTCTATGCTAAGTTTTGTAGGGCCCATTTGGGATTGCTTGTGGACTGGAATAATTAACGTGTTTTCAGATAACCAAAAGTGCTTCTCACTACGAATTAATTTGGGACTGCTTTTGTAGGAAGCACTTATGCTAATAAGTGCTTTTGCTCAAAAGTCCAAAAATTCAAGAGCTTCCTAGAAAATCACTTCTACGACCCAAAATGGCTTTCAAATTTTCTGCCAAACGTAGTGAGAAGTGCTTTTGGTTGTAAACAGGCATTGTTTTGCTTCCAGAAGCAATCCCAAACATGCCTAGGTTTGACAGGAAAACTTAAAATGCTTATGGGTCATAGGAGCACTTTCTGGAAAGCAGGAAACACCAAACATTTGCGAGTGCCTTTCAAGGAAGCACTTGGGTATTTAATAAAGATTTCGACAAGTATATAGTAAAGGAACTTCTAGCAGAAGCAGTTATACGCAAAAATGGTTCCTACAAAAGCCGTCCCATATGAGCCCCTAGTATTTGGCATGATCAAGTAATCAAACTCACACACGAAATTCAACCAAAATAGTTGCTCATAGCTCACTTCACCAACCCTAATTCACATTTTCCCTCTCCAATTACTCAGTCAGTAATCGTAGTTACCAATACTCTCTCACTCCACATTTCTACGATTTCGGGTTTCAATCAACTTAAAAATTTCATCTTTCAACGTAAAAACGCTGCCTAAATCCAAAAAAACAATACAATTAACTTCACAAACCTCGATAGAGCATCGAGCACCACCACGGCAATCCCCCGATTATCGCTCCGGCCGGTCTTGGGCTGATTCTCCCCTTTCGTCGGTATGTCATCGTAAAACGCCCTCGCAGTAAGCTTCACCAGCCTGAATTCCGATTGAAAACACCAAGAAGATAATCAACAAACGACATTAAAATTTCTGCAGTTTTAAATGAGAGCGCAAATTGATCGAATTAATACAGAAACCCTAGGAGTTCAAGAACGAGTACTTGTTGAACGGCTCGATGCTCATCGTCTACGAATCAATTTCCGGCGAATTTCTTCCGATTTTTGAATAATTTCTCTCTCTCACTGCTGCGTGCGCGGGTTCAGTTGGGCTTACTGCTAGAGAGAGAGAGAGAGAGATCTGTGGCTCTCTGGTAGGTTATGGAGGGACCTATGGTAATGCCGTATGCCTTATGCAGTTGAATAATTTACCTAAAAGGCCGTTGAGAATATGCGATTCACGAATGGGGTTGGAAGGTTTCTGAACTATTACAATAAAACCCACATCCAAGCCATGGATTTTGTTTATTTACTTTCTAAATTCTGTATTAAGAGAATTTGAATTTGAAACATCTTTCCACGTTGATTGTAGTAAAATGTTTGTTTTATTGGCTGATAAATTATAATCTTTTTTACAATATGTATGTTATAGCGCGCTAGCATGAACTCTTTATTTATTTACCAGTGAAATTCTATTCAGATTTACGATTTTCCAACGTTTAAAACAAGATTTCATCAAAATCTACTACTTGTTGGGTGATGCCTTCTTTTTATGAGCACCTTGCCATTGGATTATGAACTTTACCAACCTCTTGCACGACCAAAATCTTGTTAGATTTAGAAGAAAGATTTCAAAGTGATTCAAGCCTTAAGTGGTAAGTTAAGCATATAAGATGAAATACATGGGGCATTTCTTAATTTCCAAACTTTGTAGGCGTTCATTACAAATTTGACTTTCTTGCTTGATGTGACGCAATGCAATTTGTTAAACAGAAAACTAATGAAAATGATTTGAATACTTTGAGTTTTAAACAAAATAAAGGTAAAATGAATAATACCAGAACTTTTAATGTAAAAATATGATTTTTTGTTAAAATAAACATACTGGGAGTTTTTCGATAAAATTATCTTTGTTAAAAGAAAGAGATCAAAAACAAAAAACTAGTTTTGTCACCCCAAGGGTCCCACACATACAATCTGAACCACACTTTGTTTTCAGCAAAGATCTTTTATCATCCGTTAGATCAGTATCATCAACAAGTGTACGGTCGAGACGAGAAGCATAACGCAGTTGTCGTCCTCCTTAGCCAGAGAGAAGCCCGTGAGTGCGTCTATAAATAAAACCCTCATTTTATTTTATCTGGGATAAAAAGCTAGACAGCTACTGAGCTTGTTCGATCCTTCTCTCTCTAGCTTTCTCTCTCTAGGATTCCGTACGTCCATGGCGAAGCCACGAAAGCCCAAGAACGAAGACGCCAAGCCTGAAAACTCAGGGTCCGTCGTCCGCCACCAGAAGCTCTGCCTCTGCATCGACGTCGATAAACGTCGCATTTACGGGTTCGTCTCTGCCCTTCATTAACACACACAAAAGGAAGAATACACTGTTGCATGTTCACTGATTTCGTGGCGAATCTCTATGGGTTTTGGGAAAATTCGAATTGGGTTTTATGATTCGGGGAAATTGTGAATTGGGTTTTGTTTTTGGTAAAAATTGGATCGTAGATAAACTGCTTTGGGAGCCAGAAATTGTTGTGATTCTGTATGGTTAGTGTTTAAGTTGCTTGATTTTGTTTAATTTTGATGGGATTGTAGGTACACTGAGTTGAAGATTGTGGTCCCAGAAATTGGGATTGTAGGGTTACACGCAGAGAATTTGGGGATTGAGAGTGTTTCAGTCGACGGTGAGCAGACCGAGTTCGAATACTACCCGCAGAGTAATCATAAAGATGCGGAGAGCGAGAGGAGATGGAGCTGGGTGACATCGCCGAACTCTGCTGCGGATGCGGCAGGGTCAACATATATATCGGCTCTTGAGAGAGAGCTGGTCCCGAATTTACTGATCAATTGCTGTAAGGCTTTCAAGGCCGGAAGCGAACCGCAGGAGCAATTGCTTGGGGATAATGAGGTGCAGCAGTCTTCTGGAGAAGCCAAGCAGGTTACGGTTTATTTTTGGAGTTGTGGTTTTGTGAGTTGAAATTTTGTGGTGGGTTTTCAAACTCCAGGATTGATCAATGTAAATGGCTAGGATGGCATTAATTTTCGCGTTTTGTATCAACTTTAGCTGGAAGGGCATGCGCATATGGAATTACACGTTTAAGTATTTATACTTGTACATATTGACTGAAAAAGAAGAAAAAGAATTACTTGCGTATGGTTCAGACTTTTGTTGCCCTGTGCTTTTCTAGAACTTTGGTGGTGGGTTTTTAGAGTTCAGGTTGATAAATGTAAAAGGTTACAAAATAGCATTACATTTTGTGTTTTGTATCGAAATTTAGCTGCCAGGGTCATTACGTATGCCCATATGGGCTTACACGTTTAAGCATTTATACTTGTACATATCGATTCAGAAAGAAGTAAAAAGAATTACTTGCGTATGTTTCAGATTTTTGTTTCCCTGCGCCTATCTAGAATTTTTGTGGCATGTGTTCATAGCTTAATAGAAGATGAATGATGATTTTATGCCAGAAGTTATTAGGAAATGACCAGTATCAGAACCGATCATTTTGTGGAGGGTTCAATTGGCATAATGTGTTGTGACTGCATTTCTCTTGTCTATGGCTTCTCATGTTGTTTGGTGTTGGTGCAGAATGTGAGGTTGGTTCGTGTTGATTATTGGGTAGAAAAAGCGGAGACGGGAATTTATTTTCATGATGCCATTCTACATACCGATAACCAGATACGGCGTGCACGGTGCTGGTTCCCTTGTATAGATGACAATTCACAAAGTTGCTGGTACTAATTGTCTAACTGTGCTGTTCTTTTGATAGTTTTGCATATTATTGATAACACTCGGCATATTCATAATGACTATTACATGTTCAGCTATGATCTGGAGTTCACTGTTGCACAAAATCTTGTGGCTGTTAGCACTGGAAACTTACTATACCAGGTGAGATCAATGATAGAACACGTCTATTCATGTTTAAGTGCCAACATATTGTGTATTTTTCATGACAGAAGTGCACATGCCTGTGATGAGTCCATTAACCAGTGTGTAAAATGTAATTGTGCGACAAAAGTATAGCAGAATAAAATCTGAAATTAATAGGCATTTTCTGTGGTTTTTAATCTGTATAATAGTAGTTAGCAAACAATAGAAAAATATTGTTTGAAGTAAATGCTTCTCTTAGAAAAGTAAGGAAATTTGTCACAAAAAGAAATAGTTTTTCAGCAAGTTTTTATCACTTAGTATGATTAATGCCTTGCCATGATATAAACCGGGGTTCGATTCCTGGTTGGTGCACTATTTGCGGGGATAGCTCAGTTGGGAGAGCGTCAGACTGAAGATCTGAGGTCGCGTGTTCGATCCACGCTCACCGCTGGCATCTACTGGATCGATGCTCTGTTGAGTGGACCTTTAACTTGGGTGATGGGACAATCTCTATTGTTAAGGGCAATATACAGCATGAAAGTCAAGCTTTCAAGTGGAGACAAAAAGAAAATACATTTAAGTACTTATTGTGGAAGTAATTTCTTTAATTCTGTAAATCCCCATTTAAATGCAACCATGCAACTGGCCAGGTTTCTATGCTGATGAAGTCCAGGTATGCTAGAGACACCAATAGTAATTTGTTGAAAGCCAATAAGGTGTGTGTGTACATCCTGGATACCAGAAACTACGCTTCCCTTGGAAAAAAAAAAAAAGGTAGTACATAGGCAATTGAAACTGTTTTCCGTTCCTTCACCTCAACAATCTTGCTAGTTTTCTTATCTAGTCACTAGTCAGCATTTAAAATATTTGTAGAAACGTTAGTGTTGTTATTACATGGTCATTGGTACCTTTCTAATGACTTGACAAATTGTAAACCAATATGTAGTTTTTGTCGCTTCACCAGCATTCATCTTATTATGCATATAATAGAATGACAATTAGCTAATGGAAGTCATATAACCAAGAAAAAAAAATAAACTAGTGGAGGTGTCACCATGCTTCTGTATTGAGACGGAATTTTACCAATTTTAAGTTCGATATTCACAAAATCCTTCTTTTTGGGGGTGGGGGGTTGTGTCTATGTAGTATCGTCTTTACATGACAATGTTCTTTTCTTCTTTTGCCGGTACGTGACATGGATCTTTAATATAGAGAGCTAACCCTTAGTCTATTGAAGACCAGTTGCCATGTGCATCCTCATGCAGAGGCCTAGATATTGAGACGAAATTCAATTTCTGCAGCCTTGTTGAATGCCTGTAGAAGTTTATTTTCGTATTACCATTTGGCTTGAGTTTCCAATTTCAAAATCAAGGTTTTCTATGTATATATGGTGGAATAGAACTATTGTTATGGAGCCAAGCGTTGTGGCATCATCTTGAGTATCTATAGACAGTAGTAGTGTGAGATAAAGTCATAATCGAGATATGGCTTGCAGCAATTGTAAATGTAATTGGATAATCATATCTAGGATATTCCTTCAAAATTTGTCACTTAAGTTGTTGTTGCCATCTATGTGTGCAAATAACTCACTAACATTCTACATGGGTGCATTTGGCCAGTCAATGTTCACATCTAGTATAATTGTATCATACTGTGTTTTCCGTGTTGATGTTGCAACTATGCATAACGACTTCATTGCAGGTTTTGAGCAAGGATGATCCTCCTCGCAAAACATATGTTTATAGATTAGATGTTCCAGTTAGCGCTCGGTGGATATCTTTGGTGGTTGCGCCTTTTGAAATCCTTCCTGATCAGCAATTTGGTCTAATATCTCACATGTGCTTGCCCATTAATCTGTCGAAGCTTCGGAATACTGTAGAGTTTTTCCATAGTGCATTTAGGTTTGTCTTCTAGTCATATGGCTTTGTTTGGTTTCGTAATGTGTGTCTTCATGTTTTACATCATACATCATTTTCTTACCATTATGTTTTAACTCCACAGCTGTTATAAGGATTACCTTGCGATAGAATTTCCTTTTGGGTCATACAAGCAAGTTTTTATTGAGCCCGAGATGGCAGTATCATCATTAAGTTCGGGGGCGTCCATGAGCGTTTTTAGTTCTCAAGTTTTATTTGATGAGAAGATCATTGATCAGGTTTGGTTATTCCACATATTTTCTACGAGTCACATTCATATGATGCTATTATTTCACATTTACGAAAGTTAAGCAAGATCTGTATGTAGGTGTAAAATCCATTGTGGAGGTTTGATAAATGTAGTAGGCAGTGAATAAACAACATAA